CCGCCTCGCGCGCCGCCGGAGCCGGAAAGACCCGTCCTGCCGGCTGCGGCGCCGCTCCCCGCGCGGGACGCGGCCGGCGGCCTCCCGGAGCGCGCAACAGCCGCGCTACAGCCGCACAACAGCCGGCCCGCTACAGCCGCGCGCAACACCCGCACACCCCCGTGCCCCCGCACGCGCTCCCCTCTGGCTGCCTCCACAGGGATTTGGAGGCCCATTGGTGCCAGGCCGGGGCGGTGATGCCTGTTGGGAACATCCCGGCCCTCGGGAACGGGCAGCGGGTGCACACCCGCCAGGGAGGTGCCTGGGAACGGCGGGACACGGAGCGGGCCGGGATCAGCGGCGCTCCGGGGGCTCCGGGAGCCGCCGGGAAGGCGCCTCGAGGGGCAGGATGAGCGCAGGGGACGCAGGCAGCCGTGCGGGGCGGGATCGCCAAGCGGAGCGCCGGTTTCCTGCAGGAAACGGCGCTCCCGGCCAGAGGAAGGGGGAACAAACACACCCTGCGGCCGGGGACGGCCGGGCGCGGGCAGGGCGGGCGGTACCGGGAACCACGCGCGGTACCGGGACACGCCGGGCCGTGGCCGCGCTCCGGCCGCCGCGAGGAAGGTGCCGGGGCGGCCCTGTCACTTTGTCCCGGCTACACATTAACCCGGGAGCGGCGCCGTCGGGAAGGGCCCCGTGTCCCCGGTGTCCCCAGGGGAGCGCTCCGCGGGTCACCGCGGCCCCCCCCGCCCCGCGGGGCTCGGGCCCCCCGGGACTCGCCGTTCCCGTCCCCGCCCGTCCCGCGGCGACGCCGCCCGGCTGTTATCGCCCCGTTCTCGCGGCGGCAGCGGGACGCGGCAGCGGGAGCGGCCTGGGAGCCGCCCCGGGAGCGGAGCCGCCACGAGCACCGCCACGGGGACAAGCGGCGACCGCCGAGGGGCCCCGGAGCGACCGGGGCACCGAGCCGGGACCCCCCGGGGCCCGCGTGGTCCGGTCCCGGGGACCCCGCCATGGCCGGGCCTGACCTCGGCGCCGCTCCCCGAGCGGCTCCGGCCGCCGGGACCCCTGTGCCCGACGAGCCGGCTCCCCGTCCGGGCCGCCCCGACGGCCGCCCGCCGGTACCGGTACCGGTGCCGCCCGCACTCACCGGCGGCCGCGC